ATGCCCAGATGCCCACCTCCCAATCCTCTGAACCGCTTGCGCCGACATTCCCAGCCTAGAAGCTTCAGTGGCAGTGCCAATCCTAAATGAGTGCCCCCCAAACTCCTTACTGTCAACCCCCAATACCTCCAATCCAGAACGAAAAACTCGAATAAATTGAAAATGGGACAGAAAACTCCCATCCTCATGAACCAAAAGGGGGCCTGAAGAAACCGGGCACAGCTCACAGAATTCCCGAAAGGAAGAAACCGGGCAAATATCTGAACCAGGGACAGCACCCAATCGCACCCATTTACCCCTTCCAAGGACATCCGTTTTTGACCGTCGTATCAGAAATGAAATCAGCCCCCGCTCGCACTGAACGTCGGCAAACAACACCCCCCTGCAGCTGCGCTTACTAGGGCTCACCAGTTCCCTAATACGCATGGCCCCAAAAAATGCCAGTGAATAAGCCAACTTAAACAGCCGTGCCTCAAACACCGAGTAACAGATCTGCGGGAGCACCCCACAGAGTCGTGACAAAAGCACCGCAGAAACCGGTCTCCGTGCGTCAACCGACACAGCTCGGCGTCGCAGTCCCTTAAGTGCCTGACCCACAACAAATGCTTTAGTCGAATCTTCCCACCCGCGCAGCTTAAATAGAAAGCTAAGACCGGAGAAATGCGCGGAGATTGCAGAGGGAGACTTACCCTCAGATTCCCAGCGTTCCAAGAGCTGCAGTAGCCCCCCGAGACGCTCGGTCGGGGAACAAAAACCACCCAAATCCAACTCCCATTGCTCCCATTCACCCCACACCTTACTGTAGCGAATCCAGGTGGCCTTGGAAACCGATCCACAGACCCATTCCTTCACTCTGCCTGACCAAGCAACCAGATGTCCGCCGGACAAGGCGTTCCCACCGGTTCGGCCTGCGGGGCGACAGCCCGAAACTCCGACCACTGTGAACGAGAAAGAGCATCCGCCATCACATTGTGAACTCCCGGTATATGCTCTGCCCTACAATATACATTGAGACACAAACATCGGAGAACCAACCGCCTAAGCAAGTGAACCACCGGAGGGGAGGAGGCTGTCAGCCGATTAATGGCCTGAACAACCCCCAAGTTGTCACAATGAAACAATCTCAATGCCCAGAAAACTGAGACAAGTGACTGGGCCCACCGTCTTGTCGTGAGCCAATGGGACCCCAAACCGATGGAACACCTCGCTCAGAACCCGCAGCAGCATTGCACAGTCTGGCGAATTGGCGGGACCCACACAAAGGAAATCATCGAGGTAGTGTAGCAAGGAGTCTATCCCAGCCTCCTTCCTCACCACCCAGTCCAAGAATGTACTGAAGCATTCAAAGTAAAAGCAGGATAAGGAACAACCCATAGGGAGACACATATCCACGTAATACCGGTCTTCAAAAACACAGCCCAGAAGATGGTGACATTCCGGGTGCACCGGCAGCAGACGGAAGGCCGATTCCACATCAGCCTTGGCCAACAAGGCCCCGGGGCCTGCGGTCCTGACCATGGCGACCGCCGCGTCAAAGGACGCATAAGACACTCTGCAGAGTTCCAAAGAGATGTCATCATTCACCAAACACCCCTCGGGTACGATAAATGGTGATCAGACGGTATTTCCCTTGCTCCTTTTTGGGCACCACACCCAGGGGGGAGACACGCAATTCCGGGAGCAGGGGGTCCCTAAAGGGACCAGCCATCCGACCTAATGACACCTCCTTACTCAGTTTTTCCGAACTACCCATGGGAATTCCCGGACCGACCAAAGGTTCCGTACCAGAGGGGAAGGGGGACGACAAGTGAACGGAATCCAAAACCAATGCTCAAACCCATCCAGTAGGATGTCGGCAGCCCGACGATTCCTATAACTGGCGAGCCAAGGGCGCATCACGCTTATGACCACCGGCGTCGTCGCCCTTTGACCCCAAATCCCCTTTCTCGCCCACTTTGCCCCGCTTGAAGCAGCGGGAGACGGAATGGGTTCCCCCACAGGTGGAACATTCATGCTTGAATCGGCAAGATGTCCCCCATTTGCAGTGACTGGCGTTGAATTTCCAACAGCAGCCTGGCCTCTGATGCGCGGCCGATGAGGAGGAGCCCTCCCACAGGCCCTCCCAAGAAAAGACGAGAACCAACCCTGCTGGGGGGCTGGGCGGGTCATAATGGAGAGCCAGAGACCAATATCCATCTGGTCCCATGAAATGGAGGGGCGCACCGCTAACCGTTGACGGAATTGCTCGTCATATTTCCACCACCCCAGACCACCATAGGTACGACAAGTGTTCCAAATGATATCCTGGTAGCAGAACAATGCGGAGCACTTCTGCGGAGCCCTTTCCCCAATCACACTGGCCAGGATCGCAAATGCGCGAATCCAATTCCCGAAAGTCTTAGGAATCTTCAGGTACCGGTACTTCTCCCTGTCTTTGTCGGAGTCTTTCCCGTCCTTCTCCAGTAAAGGA